TATGGGTCTCATATATATATATATATATATATATATATATATATATATATATATATATGAGACCCATAAAAATATGCTCGGCTCAATCAGGACTCTTTCACCCAGAAAACAATTGTAACATTTGGTAGAAAGTCATATGTATATAGGCCATAAAATAGAGTCAATCGTGTTATGATTTAAAGATGACGCAAATGAGTTAATGCAGACGATGCAGATGATGCTGAGCTGTTGATACTCACATAGCAACATTGCCCTCCGAGACATGTGCAAAACAGCGCCAACCCATGGCAGCTTGATGCTTTATCGTTGCCATGATGCTGTCAACCGCTTCCGGTCGTGGCCGTCTAGTCAATTCGGCATGTNCCACGGATTGTGAACATGGTTCGTGTAGTGTCGGTACCCACGGGGTGCGTGGAGCGGGAAGGATCAACGCGTTCAAGCACTGAATCACACAGTCGCTAACCACAGACGGTACATAGCCCCCTTCAAGAGCAAGGACAACGCGACTGTTTGTGACAGACATACACTGTGAAAGTGAACAGAAAAAAGGAGAGAGAGAGAGTTACAAATCGAGAAATGAAGAAGAAACATATAGTCTAACCGCCAACACCAGTGATCAAAGGTGGACAAGCAATCAGATCAAAACATGAACAGAATTTATTGCGTGCAAATCAATTATCAAACAGTTAGCCAACAAAAATGCATCGATGAATCAATAAATACCGGAAAATGCGCATGATTCAAAAGTCAAAAATCGACGGAAATTGATCGGTAAAGTTAGTAAGGATCAGATATGACCGATTTTGAGTATATTTGAACTAATTGCAACACTGATACACAGTGAAATACCACGTACACAAAATTTCAACGGAGACTGACTAGACGACAATAAAAGCAGAAAGACAAATGGAACACAACCGCTATATATATTTTCCTCGTCGTGCATGCAACCTCACCGATCGGGGGAAGGCTAGTCGAATGGGGCTTTACGTGAACGGATCAAGGCAGGCTCCTAAACATCTCCGACCGCCGGATTTCCCAAATTTGTTTGTTACACCTGATGCAATTCAATGAATGACAGCAAGTAAAAAAAAACAGAGACCAGAGTAAACCAACGGAGACACCGAATCAGAACGGAGTGCAGGAGTAGTCACGAGAACAGCCTGAGAATTCTCACTGATTGGGAGCATGAGGGAACGAAGGGCGTACTAAGAGCCATGAACGCATGCGAATAATGGCTGCTTCTCCCTTTCTGAAAATTGTATGATTATGCATTCAATAGAAGGAAGTAGAAAAAGAAACAAGAATGTTTTGAAGTGATCAAAAATGTAGAAATCCTAATAGTAGCTCAACTGCAAATAATTTTTGTCTGTTAGAATGACAAGTGCTAAGACAACCACCACAATAGCGTAGTCTTCAACTACGCAACGCGTTCTGACAGGATTCAATCGCCTGTTGCCTATTATGCCAGATTCCACCACTATGTTCGTTTATATTTGCATTGCTACCAGTGTTCATTGAGTCCTTCGGCTGGTTGTTGAACCAATAGGCGATCGGAGAGTTCCGCTTCGAAGGTCGATTTGCAACAATGGCTGATATTGTGTCGTGGGTATCCGTTACCGGTGAGTTTATTGCGGTTACTTGTCACACGTAACGAGAATTCGGATCGTAACAAACGCATAGTCTGCATCGACAGATGGTGACCAGTGTGGGCGGTAGTCTTAAATTGCCCCTCTCAAGCCCATGGCGATGAAGTTCGTACGCAATGGAAACAATTCGTGGGCCAGGCAAATTTGAAGTAGATGACCCCTGCTGTCCGTTCGGTTGGCTGGGATTGCACGTGGGTCGCAGAGCCTTTCTGATTGGTCCCGAATTCCCACTCAAGCATCGAAGTCTCATACGATTACAACGACGTCGGTTGACTGGACCCGGTGGATTAATTCGGAAAGATCCTTGTAGAAACCTTCCTTGATTTCAAGCACACTGCAATCGGTCGGTGCATAGATCCACCTTGACCTAGGGTGCCCTTCTAAATTCTTCCACTTCAGGTCACATAATATTCCCTTAAATACCAACTCATGAAGAGTGAGAGATGAACGCGAGAAGTTGTGAGTGGGAAATTGAAGGCAGATAGAGAAAGCTGTGACTATTGGTCATAGTCGCAATCTTTTCCGTCTAGTGAGGAATACGGGCCACAGGAAATAGGCTTAAATGGGGTAATTAAATAATCCAATGACATACTGATTCACCATCAGCAAAGCCGTCTTGATCGATAGACTCAACATTTCGAGGCCCAGTTCAACTGGTTCCCATCGACATCTGACCAATCACCCCCACGTCCACTGGGCAAATACTCCTAGTTGATGCCAGTCCCCCATCTGAAATGGAGGTTTGCCGGGAAACAAAGACATCGAGCTTCAGGTCAAAATGGGTTGCCTCAAACGCCTTTTAGGAATGAAGGCTCAGTGTTAGTCTTGGAGCCGACAGAACTCCTGGAGTCGTTATGAGAGAGCGAACAGGTTCCAACTGAAAGGTGTGAATCGGTCATCTTACCGATTTACAAGAAAGGTGTCAGATCCTCTTGTGAAAACCACAGAGGAATTAGTCTAATCTGCATTGCCTCTAAACGTCTTGCTGAGATCAAACTCCGACGATTGTCTGCCGCAAGCGAAGAGTGAACGCGTGAGAACTAGGCTGATTTTAAACACGGTCGAGGTTGTATAGACCATATTTTCAGCCACTGCCGAATTCTGGAGTACCGATATTCATTTCGTACACCCACCATTTTTATTTTCCTCGATCTAAAAGCGGCTTTCGACTCAGTCGACCGCTCTAAACTCTGGTGCTAACTTCCGCGGAAGTGTGCCCGAGAAGTTCATTCCAATATTACGATCTGTTCGTCCTAATAGTCGAAGACGAGTCCGAGCTTACAACACTTTTGCGAACGCGTTCACCACAGAAAGCCGAGTTCGTTATAGTTGTTCTCTCTTTTGCTATTGAATTCGGTTAACATTTTAAGTATGAAAACAGCCTTAACCTCGTCAGAGGATCGTGGAGTCCATTTGCCTCCAGATGGCAGACTGTCTGATCCGAAGTATGCAGACCAGACCGTACAGCTAAATGAAGATCCAGGTAAGGTGCTTGAAGGATAACGAAACCATGTTCGGCATGTGCTTTGCACCTTCAAAGTTTAAAACGTTGCTAAAAGACTGTTGGCCCAGCTCCTAACCTTACTTGAACTGGTAAGTAGTGGAGAGAGTGGACAAATTTTGGCAGCTATATCACACTAAGTGGACGCATCAGAGATGAAGTAACAGGACGCCATTGAGATATTTGTGGTGCCGTCCGGACATTCGGCTGTCTGTGAAGGGTCGAGTGTATACCGCGACAGTTCGGCCAGGTTCGCTATACGGCGCGGAAACTTGACCGTTAGGAAAACAGGATAAAGATAGACCGGCGGTGTTTGAACACCGCTGTCTATGCAGCATTGCACGAATCAGGTGGGAAAACCGACCGAGCAATGCTGAGGTTAGAAGCAGAGTTTAAAGTCACAGCGGTCGCCCAGGGGAGTAAGTGGTCGATCTTCATATATCACGTTGGTTGGGGCATTTGTTACGCCTGTGACCAAATAGGCTACCACCGCGAGCGATGTTTACCGAGGCAGGTCGTGGGTGGAGAAAAGTCAAAGGTGTTCACAAAAGACCTGGCACGAGGGTATAAAAACCCTAATCAGGATACTCGGTCATGCAGGTCGCGTCAGGGCTCTCTGGATAATTGTAAACAGTGATGCTCGTCTATTGTTTCAATTGCTTTACAACTTAAGTTCACTGAAATTCTCAATTTCCTCTTAGGCTCTCCATTCTAATTTCCCATCTTTCTCCTACTCCTTCCTCCAAATGGGCGGCCAAAAGACAGCAACCAAAGTGGGCGCACGAAAGTGCATCCATAATGATTGTAACGAACTGAGAAACTGAAACGGGACATTCAGTCCATTTATCTTAACTTCAGGTGGATTTTTGAACAGTTGTCAAACGGGTCAGGAAAGCTTTGAACTACGTAAGTTAAGGTTTGCACAACTCAACACGTATTTTCAAAACGGTAAATGAACAAAAATGTGGACTGTGCACACGGCAACGGTAATTTGGGATCAAACATTTTATTATCAGACACATTCAGTTGCTTTCCCTACCGCTTATAGCAATATAAGAGAAAAATAACTGGAACCGAAAAATTACATTATTAAATGAACGGTTGATCGATCACAGTTTATCAAGCAGTATTGAGAAACTGTGAGTAACTCAACTACGATTAGAGCATACTATACAGGAAAACTCCACTAAATTTTGCAATACTGGTTTTTTTTGGCGCGGAAAGCAGACGCACGACTAAACGACACAAATTGTAAAAAAAGTAAGTGACCGATATGTCAGAAGTCAGCGCCGTAATGTGACTTACCTGGCGTGTAATCCAAGCAAATGTGCCCGGAGAGACGGAATACCCGCCCAACTGTTCCGGATGCCCGTGAGCCGCATCAAACCCGGCAGAGATGAGGATGATGTCTGGTTTGAATTCATTTGCAACCGGGATCACAACACATCGAACTGCGGCTAAGTATTCCGCGTCGCTAAGGCCTAAAAGTGGGCTGTGTGAATCACCGGCGTGCTGTTGCTGCGGCGTTGTGGTTTCAGTTGTTGCCGGTGGTGGGGTTTCTCCCAATGGAACACGACGAAAAGCTGAGGCTGCTGTGGCAAAGACATTTGCCCCCAACTGAATGGATAAGGAACCAGCCGGAGATGGTTGGGACAAGCAAATCGAACAGGCTTGACTGCTACAAGTGCTGCCACCACCGGTCGTCCTGCAAGAACATGTAGGATACGAATCCACATCCCGAGGACCGGACAGCATCGAGCCGATGGACCGATTGTCTTCAGTCCTAGAATCCGGCTGATCTGGATACTTGCGCTGACTGCAATACTGTGAAAAGAAGTTTGGAATGCAAAGCCGTTGGTTACAGTCGGAACGGTTTGTTACTAAACATCTTAGTGTGATGAACAGTGGAGAGGGAAAGCCGCATAGTCAGGGGACCTGTTGTTCAGTGATAAAAATCGGTGACCTAAGCTCCAGGACTTCAAGTACCCAACCATATAAGGTCCCGATGGGTTAGGCGTAGTCTTGAACAGGACGATCATAAAGTTAGGTATTACTAAATTTGGGTGACGGGGCTCGAACCACAGGGTCCAAAGTAACCCGGTGAGAGCGACTAAGCCAATGCGCCATCATTTGCAAAAACATGTAAATGGACATATTGAAACTGTTGCAGGTAAAAAACTTAAAATAATCATTATGTAAATCATGAAAAGCTGCACCAGTCCGTGTTGAAAAATACAACACTGCCAATAACGCGTCAATGCACGCCCGGGATGAATGGGTCCATGACTGGCAAACAACCAAGTTCGGAGTTTCCGAAAATAACCATTCGATCTCAGTGGTTTCTAACACCAGAATCACCTCTTAGGTCATAATGTGTTGGGTCCAAACCGGTCGATCGTGCACACTAGGTGCTACAGTAAACAACCATAACAACAATTAATAACATCATAATACCGTCAGGTGAGTAAAGTTCATTCGTGGTGCACCGGGCATTGGAGGGCTTGCTGACTGGTTTACGCTTGCACTGATGGCGTTTTGTTTGCGTGAATTTGAAAAAAATTACCAATTTGCCCAAAAGGATAGGTTGTTCGCTGTGATTTAATCACATCCTCACTGTTCGTTGTGTCCACAAAGGCACGATAAAAAATACTCTTGTCATTGAGCCTGGTCACACTGGGAACTGGGGAAACGAAACGGTGAAAGGAAGTGAATGATCACCGCACTCACAAATCCGTTCGTTGAAAACCTCTCAGCAAAGATGGTGGTGGTCAGCTTTAGCCTCCATCTGTCTCAGTGACTTGCTTATCATGTGCGTATACATATCACACGTGTAATATTAAGTCTCAAAACGTATCTTAGTATGCGGAATAGCAGTGAGTGCGAGTCCATCTGGCCAGTTGGATTGATTTTACGATCACCAGGTCTCAACAGATCGGGCGCGGTTCCAGTCTGCACACCCATTACCAAAGCATCTTTGTATACACTGATTTCCGTGACCACGGGGTTCATGAACACCTCTAGTAATATGCAACATTTTAGAAAAAAAACCTATCCCGAGATGCAGAATAGCAAGTTAGGCGATAAACAATCGGGGACAGTACAAACGTATTAGTTGTGAAAACTAAAGAAACTGATTACACAGTAGATAGAATTTACATTTCTGTCGCTTCAATCAATCATTCACACAAATTGTGATAGAAATGGGATAAATAAGTTGTTTCTACGTTATTTTGTCGAGCACGTAAAAAACATAAAATATGAAGGAGTCTAGTTGAGGGGCAACACGGGATAGCAATGTGCAAACCGAATTTCTTCTATAAATTCTACATCTTTTCCCATCAAGCTTTAGCCTCGACCCAAAATGCTTTAGCCAAAACCCACATTCCTTCAGCTTTGACCTACATTCCTTTAGCCAAAACCCGCAATGCTTTAGCCACGACCCGCAGTCCTTTAGCCTCGACGCACAACCTTTGGTCACACCGTTGTAGGCGAGTCAGAACAAAAACTATCGGTTTATTCTGAGGTCAACGAATGTTGAAAAAATTTATATTTTACAAACTTTCATATTCCAAAGCTTCACTAATAAATGAGGTCTGACGATCGTATGCCGCGCAGTTGACTGTAGTACCGGTATCAAATGCCGCACCACATAGTGATTGGAGTAGGTTCAAACGATTTGCCCGTATCGTGAAACCATTTGGTACATCTCGTATGGCTGCAGTGTTTTCAGTGAACCAGTTTTTAAGGTACTAAATTATAAGGGAATTAAAAGAATAAAATTTCTCACCTGTTTTAATTTACTGAAGA